TTTTATTATGAAAGAATGTTGAATTATGTTGAAGACAAATTCTAATCAGGTTTCCCTTCATCATTGTGTGGAAACTGCTCTTGTGAAAGTTACCAAAGGTCTTTACATTAAAAAATCCAGTGGTCAGTTCTTAATCCTTACCTTTCTTGTTGCATCCATATGAGTTGATATTGGTGATTGGTAACTTCTTCCTTAATAGTTTTTGTTTTTTCATCTTTCATGATAAGACTTTTGTTTTCCTTTTATCACTTGGTTTTAATTGTAATTATTTCATTTATTTTTTCATTCTTCATAATTTTTAATGTAGCTCAAGTAACAGACCACATGTTTTACAAGTTGTGAAGAGTGAGTTTAAACCCCAGTAACAAAAAAAAAGAGAAAAGAAAAAGGGCCAATGAGGGTTCATTACATTGTTGTGAGTTAACTCACAGGCAGGGAATGTTATAGTGGTAGCTGCCAAAATAAATGAACAGATACAGAACTAAATATAGTCTATAATCGTTTTACAGCTCCTTCATATTTTCTTATCACTGTTACTATATGAATGAAGTAGGTTTTATGCATCCTTTGAAGAAATAATAAGCATGGACTCTAGAGAAAAATCCAGATACCTCTAAATATTTTAAAGACATTTTCTCTCTTATATTCACAGAAAACACTCTACCATTAGCTTCTAAATAGATAGTGGTAAAGCTTTATTAAGAAAATTTTAATAATGAAAGGATTGAACTAATCCTAGAATAAAGAATTCACAAACAGACTCATTCATATATGAAAAATTGACACAGGACAGAGTTTACACTACAAATTCAATGACAAAAGTATATAGTAGTCAAAATTGGAAAATTGATAATTTTCTTTTTATTAATTTTCTTGAGATAAGGTCTTGCTATGTTAGCCAAGGCTTATGTCAATGCTGTGTTTCTCTTATTTCTGCTTCACAAGAACTAAGATTAGAGGTGTGTTCCATCACACACAAATGTAATGATTCTCATTAAAAATAGAGTTTTATTCCCTTCTCCCAGATTTGGAATATTAGGAAGCAGAACTCTAAACATTGGAAGAAAATACAGGGAATATCTTTACAGAAGAAAATACCTGTTTAAACACCACAGAAGGCACAACTACAAAGAGATTAATAAATTTGAAATTTGTTTGTCTCAGAATAGAGCTCAGTTTACAGCTCCTCCCTACCATACCTGGGGCTTACAGTTCCATCCTCACCACACTCACACACACATATACACACACAACATAAATTAAAAAGTACTATGTTAAATTTAAAACCTTCACACCATCAGATAAATCAGGCACAAATGAAATAGTAGCAATAAACAGATTTATGTATTTACTTTACATAGAATGTGACAAGATTTGCTCCTAGTACAGAGTATGTAAGAGCTATCACACAAGTACACAAATTAAAAGCTAGGGATGACAGAGCATTCATAAAATGCCACCTACTGAAGAGACAGTTGGTGAAGGACTGTAAATTTGAAACCAACTCAGGTAAAGGTAATAGGAAGACACTGTCTCAAAAATAAAAGGGATGAGGATGTAACTCAAGTGGTAGAATACTTGCTTAGTATGTATAAGACCTTTGGTTTACTCATCAAAACTAAAAAAAAAATGGATGAAGAAAATATAAAAGAAAATCTGAAGTATGCACAAAAATATAGTCATACAAGTAAAAAAGAGGAAAACTGAATTAGTTTTCATGGAAAAATATTCAATTTCACTTGTAATGTTGAGCCAAAGTTAAAGGAAAAACAAAAATTCAATTTGCACTCATCATATCGGGAAATATCTGATACAATTATGCAAATACTTCATGCAGCCAAAACTGTGAAATTAAAGAGAACACCCACATACTCTTGCTAAGAGTGTAAATTGGAAAAGCAATTGCCAACATACAGCAAATTGAAAGCTCTTATGTTCTATGACCCAGAACTATCTGAGACAAACTTTTTCCCTGACACATATTTAGAAATACAAAGGAAGTTTGTTTCCAAGCTTTTATGAAAGGGAAAAGACCTAATTGTACATCAAAGGTAGAATGGATGTTCTATATAAGCATGGCCTATATTAGAGAAAATAAATAGTATATGTCTTGGTCCCACGCAAGTGGGTTATGAGACCTGGTTGGGAGCGACAGAGAATGAAAAGACAAAGACACAAATAGAGAAAGCTTGGATCAGATGGACTACACACTCCTGATGGGAGATGTAGGCCCCAAACTGTTCCACCTCGTTTATTTTATATGTAAGTACAAGGAAGTGAAAGCAGGAAAATCTTTGTGCACAAGATTTGATCAAGGCACAACAGTAGTGGAGGTTATCTGCAGGTCATCAGACTGAGGGATGTCAGGAGGTCTCAGAGGAAGTCACGGATTGTTTATCTTCTTGAACCAGGGAACAAGTATGAGGATGTGGTAAGCTATTTTTTAGGGTTGAAGGTCAGTATAGAACTCTGGAACTTTTGCAAGAGAGCTATGCAAACTCTTATTACAGGAAGGTTGTGCAAACTCCTGTGGTTCCAAGCTGGGAAGCTAGGGCTGTGCCATCGGAGCTCCTTTTCCAAATCATGGCGGGGCTTATGCCAGGGAACCAACTCTTTGCCTGGCTTCTAGTCCCCTACATACATGTATAAATCTAACAACGTTATTAAAAAATTAAATTGCAGGAAGTTACGTACATTGATTTGACTTATATCATTTTAAATTTTTCAAAACAACATTGCATAATTCTATGGAAATATACACACCTAGAAAATGATGTGCTCTGCATGTGGATAGGATACATTAACACAAGCATACTCAGAAAATGAAGAAACAGGAACAGACAGGAAATCTCAACTTCATGGTATCTGAATATCTGAAGTATTTGACAGCAATGTGACATTGTGTGAAGACTGCATGATTCTTAGTTGTGCCATGAATATGGGTCATTTTTAAAAATTTTTGACAGGTTGAAAATAGCTCATCACAAAATGTAGTTAGTGAAATCCTAAATTTAATTTCATAATTTAGGTAAATATCAACCTTATTGTATTTAGAAAATAATTAATGAGAGCAAACACTGTAACAATAAGATGAAATATAAGTCATTTCCTAATATGTAAACATAAATCAAAATGAGCATTGTAAAAAAATAGGGCAATGAAAAGTGATAAAATGGAAAACATTCATTTATATATGTTTATACATATGCACATATACTTATATAATAAGAAAAAATTGTGTTTTTAAAATGGAAGTCTAAAATAAATAATAAAAGAATAAACATCACAATTTTAAAATAGACAAATCAAAAGACATGGATATGTTCTAAGATGAATTTGGACAGGAAATAAAGAAATGAAAGTGAGCCAGGTACCATGGCCTCATAATTTGGAGGCTGAGATTGGAAGAGTTATACTTCAAGCCTAGCCCAGGCAAATAGTCTGTGAGACCCTCATCTGAAAATAACCAGAGCACAATAGACTGGAGGCATGGCTCAAACGTAGAGTGCCTGCTTTGCAAGGTAAAGCCCTGCAGTGAATTCTACACACATAAATATTCATACATGAAAATAGTGAAAGAAGCAAATTATTCTATTTAAAAAGAACAGACAATTGTAATGAAAGAATAGAAAGGTGGCACATTGATGGGAATGCGTACTTGTCAAGGTTCACAAAAGTCTCATAAGGGAAATTCTTGACATTTCCCTTATACCATTTGATCAGTAATGTCATTGGAAAGATGTGTCTTAAAACACTGATTTGACAAATACCTACAGAATCTTAATTAATATACACATGAACTAAGTCTAAAAATAACTGGACTGGCAGAGTGGCTCATGTGGTAAAGCTCCTGCCTAGCAAGCATGAAGCCCTGAGTTCAAACTCCAGTGCCACCAACAAAGAAGCCTAACCTGCTATGTTTGAAAAGATTCTGGAAAATAATTTGGACATCACTCAGAACAATAAAAATCTAAGGCACTGCCATGTCCATAACAAGGAATCCAGCATTGTAGCAGTGTGAGTAGCACGAATGGAATCTTCTGTTGTACATTGATTGTACACAGCAATAAAAATGTCTCTGGTATAATTATCAAATATCTATGCTTTTTTTAATTCACTCATACAGCACTGTAAACTCTTAATTTAAACTTCACATATATTGTAAATCCCGTGTGTGAATTATGAATAAATCAATGACAAAGTGATTTTCTAACTTAAAATGCTCATTAATTTGTCTAATATAAGGATGTCTTACATATCTCTGACCACATATACCTTACTTAATCAGCAGTTACTTTTGAAAATATTCCTTATTGCTCCTTTAACATCTTTATTCCTCAGGCTATAAATGAAAGGGTTTAACACAGGACTCACAAAGATATAAAAAACAGCAACAATTTTCCCCTGTTCTACAGATGTCTCAGAAGGGGGCCTCAGGTACATGCAGAACAGTGTCCCATAAAAGATGGTTACAGCTGTCAGGTGGGACCCACAAGTAGAAAAGGCCTTGCGCCGCCCCTCAGCAGAGCGCATGCGCAGAATGGTGATGAAGATGAAGACGTAGGAGATGAGGATGGTGAGAGAACAGGTGAGGTTGGATCCAGCCACCACAAACATGGCTGTTTCTTTGACATAGGTGTCAGAGCAAGCAAGAACCATGAGAGGTGGGTCTGCACAATAAAAGTGATTGATCTCATTAGGTCCACAGAAGGACAAACGAAGCATCAGGATGGTCTGTGCTAGGCCATTTGCAAATCCATAAATATAAGGAGCACCAACAAGAGAGATGCAGGCATATCTGGACATTTTGCTACTGTATAACAGAGGCTTGCAGATTGCCATGTTGCAGTCATAAGCCATCACTGCAAGCATATAATAATCTGTGATCACCAGGGCAATGAAAAAGTTGAATTGTATGAAGCACCCAATGCAGGAAATAGTTTTTCTTTTGGATAAGAAATTCACCAGCATCTGAGGAGTGACCGTGGTAGCATAGCAAAGATCCACAAAGGAAAGATGACTGAGAAAGAAGTACATAGGGGTGTGAAGCTTTGAGTTACTTCTGATTAAGAGAATCATGCTCACATTGCCAATTACAGTGATGAGGTAGATGACTAGGAACATCACAAAAAGTACAGGTTGCAATTCTGCTCGAGCTGTCAGTCCCAGGAGAATAAACTCAGTCACCAATGTGTAGTTTTTCTTTAACATTATGTTTATTGACCTCAAGTAAATCCTAAAGAAAGGGAAATAAAATGCATCTGCCTTTTCTCATCCATTCATAAACCCCATCATGTTATCTGATATTTTCTTCACCTCTTTCAGAATTGTAAATACATGTGGCATGAGGTAGTAAGCATGTGATTGGTGTTTAAGCACCTAAATTAGTATAGAGTTTCATGTGTGTCTGTGCGGGTTTGCGTGCAAGCAGTCTGGAGTCATCTTTTCCAATGTTTTATGCTATTCTCTCTCATTCTTTTCTTGTTTGAAGAGCTTTTATCTTTTAACAATTCTTTTTTAGATTTGCTTAAATTTCTTTCAGTATATGTATATAATCATTGCTTTTAAAAATATAATCCTTTATTTTACAAACATCTTTGGATGCAGTTTCTAAAGTGTCAGTCATTGTAACTTATGTTTGTTTTTCACAGTTAAAAGAACTTAATAACTGAAACTGGGATATGGTGCATATTTTTATAAAAATAGTATCTCTCTCTGTTTTTGATGGCTTTGGGTTTTGAATCCAGGTTGGTGCCCTACCACTTGAGTCACTTCCTCAGCCTTTTTTCGATTTAGTTATTTTTTGGATAGGTTCTCACGTTTTTTCATGGGGTCTGACTTGGACCACAATCCTCTTGCTTACATTTATCATGTAGTTGTAATTAAAGAGTGGCCACCACGCCCACCTTATGGGTTGAGTTGGGGTCTGGCTAACATTTTTGCCTAGACTGACCTCTAACCATGAGTGATTCTTCTAATCTCCACCTCTCAAGTGACTGGGATTACAGCCTTTTACCACTATGGCCAGTCCAAAACTAGGATCCCTTTGCCTTCCCTTCTGATGCCAGAATCTTTTTAATGCTATTCCTTGACTCTGTTACCTATGTTCATTTTCCTTACTCTACTTCCAAGACAGGTAGCAATCATACCAAGCAACTTTTTCTTCACTTTTAAGAACTAGATCAGGAAGTCATTTGTTTTATATAATTTTATCCCAATGGACAGATAATTTTGTGGGAGAGGCAAAATAATTCTTACTTCTTTTATTTATGTACGATGAATGTATAAATAATATGCAATTTCGTTTTATACAGTTATATGCATATGTACATTTGTATCATTAAGTATTCATAAGAGGGCAGCATTTAAGGCATAACACAGTGCACCAGAAGACTCTGGTGTGATGGCAGTTGGGCAGTAAATGAAAAGAAGATTGAGAAATGCATGCTCAGAACTAATGATTTTGCTGTAAATTTATCTCATTCTAAGTTGTTATTTTTTAATGTTATAGCATAAATTCAATAGAGGTTCCTTAAAACATGAAACATAAGTTCTATGATTCCTAGTGAAATAATAATCTTATTAATTACATAAATGACATAGTACTTATGTCATGAAGTGCATCTCTCAACCTTTGGGCCGAATAAATTGTTATTGAGACCATCATGGGAAATTGACATCTCCCTTCAATGGCTTATACCCACTTATAAGGTTATATGATACTGACTTTTTTGGGGGGAACTATAATATGAATAATGGAAAAATGGTCATTTTGTGAGGCACTTTATAAATTCAATCTTCAAGGGTTCTTTCCCAATACATTTTCACACTCTGCACATGAGGACAAAGAAATCATTTGCTATGGTAATAAGACACTAACCTAGTCAGCTAATAAATTCTAATTACTTCATGTGTTTAAGTTCATAAGTTCCAACTGGATTTTAACATATTGATTGCTAAGTAGGCTAGCAATTGCTGGCAGGATTTGTGGGTGCTAGAATGTTTTTGGTGGGATTTTGGGTGATGTATTTGCTAAGCAAATGCTCTACCACTCGAGCCACACTCCCAGACTTTTTTGCTGTTAGCTTATTTTTCATAAAATTCTCAAAATTTTTCCTTGGTCATTCTCAGATCACTACCCTCCTACTTCTACTTTCTGAGTAGCTGGAATTATAGACATGAATCACCTTGCCTGGCTTTGTTTTGACATAAGATCTTGCTAACATTTGCCTATGCTGGCCTCAAACTGCAATACCCCTACCTTTTCCTCCCAAGTGATTATAGACATGAAGCACCACACCAGCTCTCTGGAATACTATTTTTAATGTATATACTTATTGAAATATTAACCAAGACTCAAAATATTTACCTTCTCCAAAACTGTGGGTAAATAAGATAATGCAAACAATGAGAATTCCAAATAATTTGATTCAGTATTTTTTGACAATATCTTGCATTTTAAGAAAATGAACACAACATCCTACATGCATTAAGCCATGAAATCTCACAGAATTATTTTCAAAGGATAAAAGTGGCTCTAAGGCGTACTAGCTTTTGTACTCTTAAAACTATACCATGAAGTTTTGTCATTGAAATGATTCCTGTCATGGCACAGTCCCCAAAATGTCTGAACCATGCTGGCTTTAACAAGGCTAGTGTCTCCTTCACTTGTAAGTCATGGACAACTTGAAAAAATAATATATGAAATGCACCTTCATAAAGTCTATTTCAATTATTTTAGATAAATAATGCTGATTATAAACCTGGAAGTGGCCATTTCCCAATCAAGGTAATGATATGACAAAATGCTTAGTTATAAAACAGGATTTTGAACTCAAATCATACAAACACAGAATTTTAAAAGATATTGAAATCACCATAAGAAGGGGACTATGGAGAAGGGATAAAAATATAGATGACCCAGTTTATTTGTAATACATATATCCACGGAAATGTCCCAATGAAACTCCCTATATAATTATCTTAAAAGATAAAAAATGTCATTTCTTTTTTTGTTACAAAATCAAAAAACAGGAGGGCTGAACAGGTCCTGTCTGGGGGTACCAGTAGGAGGAGAGAAGAGGTGAGGTAAGGGTGTGGGAGAATGAATATAGTACAAATACTTTGTACACATGTATGTAAATGGATAAATGAGACTTGCTGAAACTATTTCAAGAATGGGGAGAGGGGAGGACAAAGAATGATGGAGGGGATTAATTCAAGTATAATATATTTGATATATTGTAAAAACTTTTATAAAAACCACAATGTATCCCTACCCAACACAATTAAAAAATCATAAAGATTGCTAATATCGCCAATTATTTTTCTTCTCTTCTTATGGAGCAAGTGACAGTAAGCATACATGGCTAATTACTGAGTCAAGAGTGTAACAGTTTGTGGTTCCCTGAAGTCCTACTTTTTGGGTGGAAATTCCAGTTTCTGTAGTTACTATGTGTGTGACTTGGGAAAATTATTAATGTCCATGTGTCTTAATTTTCCCATTTGTAAAATTTAGGTAATAATAACAACTGCTTCCATGTGAGGAAGTTAATTCAGGGAAATTCTTAATAATATTTTATATATTTCTCAGGTAGTGAGTACTTAAAAAGTTGCAGCCACTTGAGTTATGCAGATTTACACTACAATAAGATTTAGCATGGAAGCATGTGTGTGCCTTATGGACAAGGATATTGCAACTAATCTGTGATTCTAGACACAGCAGCATTTAGATGAATGCCTTGCCAGTTGTAAGCAGTCAATTTTTGTCAATGGAATTTTATTCACTCAAATCCAGCACCCTCTCCATTGTGTAAAAATCACTCCACTAGACATCTATTTGTAAGTACCTTGTTCTGAGAAAAATAATGGCATTTTAACAGAGACATTTACTAATTCATCAGTTTAGGGTTCTGCTCACTTTAGTTTTATCAACTGAAATATTTATTTCTGGATTTCAAATCTAGAAGGAGCTCTCATTAATCCTACCTGAGACAGGAGAGTGACTTCAGAAGGACATCAGTGTGAAGAGCCTGAAGAGACCATAACAGAATTGTTTAATAGGCACCAAATCCCTAAGGAAGTTATTTAGATTATGAAGAGTCACTACCAGTCTTAAAACACTGAAGTCATTGAGGACACCAGGTTTGACCACATCCCTCAACCATCAGGGAATCAAATCTCTCAAGCATGATGAAGCCATGGGACTCATTATTTATTTTATGTTAAACATCTTACTATATTTGGATTTGATGAGATAACTAAATTCTTCTATTTACAACCTAACACAAAACAGCCCATGACTGAGGGAAAAAGTTTTGGAGTCTGAAAAACATTGGAAGACAAATTTTTATAAACTTTGGCTAATTTTTTTATCAATTTTCAATTCTATACCTTTATCTTTTTAATAGAAATAGTAACTCATAGATAAAAGAACACTGTGTCTTTATAACAGTATGAGTAAGCTGGAGATTCTTCATTTGACAGTCTATTCCCACCCACATGTACTCTTTTTTTCCACATAGGTTCATTTGTCTACTTGGAGTTATAGACCTCACAATATAATTCCTGTGATGTTTAGTTTAATGCACACTTTGGCTAATGGGAAGAATGAAGAAAAGGACAGGGTAGGGACCAGACAGAAGTAGCCCCATTTCTTTCTCATTCTCTTCTTATTTCAACTGAATATGCTGTGGTTGTATCCATCCACAGAAAGGACCTTCCATGGTACTTCATGGGGAAGAAGGTGGCCAGGGATTTTCCTTCTGGCTCCAGTTCTCACTGGGCTGTGGCATCACTGGCCACTGTCTTTGTACCCTCACACCTCTAGTGAAAATTGTTTTCTACCAGTAGCCTATGGCACTTCAACTTCCGTGAATGATATCTTTAATCTTGCTGTATGCTCCTTTTTTTCATTATATTCCTTTAGGCTAAGCCTTCTGAGAAGCATTTTCTTTTATGCAGCCTCTGTAACCCAGGGTAGAATGGCACTCAACTAATGTTGCAGTAGATGTAATTTCAGTCATAATAATAATCATTAAAATTCCAAGATATTTATGGGTCATTTTGGCACTTAGATGGGCCATTGAATAACCCTCTTTCTGTATCCTGAATCAATTGAGGGCTACATATATAAGTCAAATGGTATCATTACTGGCAGCATTTCAGACAAATCTGAGTTTGACCATATTGTTTAGGCATGTTTTTCTGCT